TCAATGCTTCCTGTAAAGAAAATGAAATTCCCATTAAGAACTGTCTTTCCTGCTAGATCAATGATGTTTCTCTGGAAAGATTTATATTCTGGGTTTATATAAGACAGAAAGGATATCACTCTTCAGAAAAAAAAAAAATAAAAAGAAAAGAAATATTAGTTAAATCACTCCTCCTTATATTATTCATTATTTCTGTCACTAACAGCAATCTCATTCCCATAACTTCAAAACTGGTAATAGTAACAATTACTTGAATTAAAGTGCATGTCATAGCACAAGAGGCTCCTAAATACATAGCTGCAATATTTCTGCTAGACTGCATGAAAAATAGGTGATCAACCATTTTGTTTGCCACCTCTTTTGGAAGAAGAAAAATTGAAGTTTGCAATGATGTTCTACACTTTCGTAAGTAATGATGTGCTTTTAAATTCTACGGTACTGCAGTGATCGTTGCTGGAATGTCTAAGCTGACAGTTTAATTTCTTTTCAAAGTTTTAAAAAATTCCATTATCTTGTTGCCATGCTTCTGCACTTATAACTGCAAATTTAAATGCAAGGAAAGCAATCCAGCTTCTCTAGTAATGACTGAATATCATTATACGAAATTTCAGTAGAATTAAAAAATCATTTTTTAAGCATTTCTTAACATCCCAGTTAAGAAAAGGGAAAAGCACAAAAAAAAAAAGCACAAAGCAGATATCTTAGTTGTTTGTGTAAAAGAAGCATTGACCATAAGTCAAGTACTTGCCACTGAACAAGTAGTAGTTCAAGTTCTCTCCTAAATGGCATCTAAAGGGATGTTGCCCTCAGGCTTGTACATTTATTCAAATAATCACACTGAGGTTGCAGCTGCAGCATTCTTACAGAAGTGCCAGCAGCTCTTAATGCAGCAATCTCAACCTGCTAAGTCTTTCCTTCAAAATTAGGGAACTGCATCCAAACTGAATGAGTCACATCACCACCACATCTTCACTCGTGTGTAAAGCCTTGACTGAGCAGAGCCCTGACTCACCGAATGAAACCACCGAAAATGTTGGTTTGGAAACAAACACCAGCGTCCTTGGCGCTGCAGTGGGAAGTGGGTGTGGGGGGGTGTTTGTGTAATACCCAACTTGGAGTCTCAGGCTGAGTCAATAGTAAGGTTTTTCAGAGGTTCTCAGGGATTCGCAGCTCCTCCAGAAAGAAATAGTTACTTTTCAAAATTATAACTGTACATGTTTTTCCCCAAAAGTACACAGTGACTTACTGGCACAGGAATAAAGTGCAGTTCTTGATTTACTGCCATTTCCTTATTCCACTGTGGTTTGCTATTCCTTCATGAAAACATGAGACAAGCCCCTAACTCTGGTAACAAGTTGTATTTAATTTTGTTGGCCTTCTCTACCTTCACTTATATATCAGCATCATTAGCCTAATTTTTAATATATTTTCAGGTGATCCAGTATTTTCTGTCTTTTCTGACATTCCATACCTCCTGAATGTGGTATTACCCAGAGAACAGTGTGTCAAAGAAATAACAAAATGTAATATTATATATTCTTTTCACAAGAGATCAGCTCTGTGACAGGGATTCTCAGTGGCAAGAAGGCACCAGATAAGTCATGTATCTGTCAAGGAATAAAGGTTCTCCCACAGAGCACACAGATGACTAAGAACATTACTGAAGACCTGACTTGCAAAATATATTAATTTTGTTCAGTTCCCTCCACAGATCCCACAGACTTCTTCTCAGCTAGCTGGAAGAGAAGTTGGATCCTTCTGTCACAGATTTTATAAAAAAAGAGAAGTACCTGGACTTGCTATTACACAGAAACTATCACACAGTACTAGTGCATAGTCCACTTTTACTCTTAGATTACACAGTGCATCTAACTCTCATATAAACTAAATAGATTATTAAATTTTTTGTGGGGCATTAATATCAGACCAGTACTAGCAAAGGAAAAGTTTTAGTGCCAGATTCTGTTGCCTTGAGCAACACAGGCAAAAAAAAATGTGCACATTTTGCTAAACACAGAGCAAGCAAGCAGACAGCTCTTTTAAATGGATAGAATATTCAAATTGCAAAAATTTTAATTTAAATCAAAATGTCAGAAAATAAATGAACTTAATTGATTTTGAATCTAAGTCATTCTGCTTTTAGATTAACTTGGAGTTTACATCTGAAATATTATTTTTGTTATGCTACTATTTATGGTTTTATAATTGCATCTTTCTGGTGTTGTTTTGCTTCTCAGGAAGTCTGCCTACTCTTGCACATAAGGGAGAAGGCAAATTGACCTTGTAAAGTGAAAAAGGAAGAGTGATGACTCATATCTTCTAAACGCACAAGATAAAAAGTAGAATTTCTTTTCTAGGCTTACAGTCTTTCCAGTTGCCATTAAAAGGTAGAATTTATAATGAATAAGAAGTTGTATATTGTGTGGTTTTATTTCTCTTGCAATATTTATTAAATACTTAAAGTGTGATTTGAATCAGAATAATGAGCGGAACGGATTCAGTGTGTTGCAGTTTTGTTTTTTCATGTCTTTATTACAAATACATAATATGAAATTGATGCACGTAAGTAAACTCAGAGTTTGGATAATAAAATTAACCTATAAAGAAGTTACCCTCTTTTATGATGAGTTTTGTTTTGCTTGGTGGTTTTTGTTTTACATAGTAGGTTTTGGGTTGGTATGGTTTTGCATTCCTATTACATCCTGCTACAGTTTTTATACTCTTTACATTCAAAATCTGGAAAATATATTTTATTTTTTTCAGAGTTAAGAAGACAAGGATATGCTCTTCTACTGTTAAACTTCAACTTGAAGGAAAACATTTTTTTCTATTATAGAGATAGGAATGAAATAACTGCCTATGAAATTATATGCACTTAGTTATCTAAATTGCCTACTCTGAACACAGTTAAAAAATTATGGATGACATTTTCTGCATTTACAATATAATTTTCAATAGGTCACCTTGCATAATTCTATTCCCTCCTGCTTTAGCACTCTCTTTTCCCTTTCAGCTCTTTGAAGTAGAATCTTTACTGATTTTGAATCAATTACCAAACTACCTGAAGGCTCAGTGGAGGATCTGAGGTGTAAACACTACGATCTGAAATTCTGAATCATGTTCCTCACATCACAGCCTGGTTTCCCATACCCTTTCTCATGCTGAATAACATTACATCTCGTGTGATCCTAATGATGTTAACACAACCATATTCAAAAAAGCTCCTAAACATACAGGAACAAAATCAGTATCTTGAGGTTTAAAAGCAACTCTCCTTATTTTTCTCTTATTCTATATTTCTACATTAAGGGACTGGAGTATCTTTCCTACAAGGACAGGCTGAAAGAGTTGGTCCTGTCAGTCTCAAGAAGAGATGACTGAGAAGGGACCTCCCCAAGGTCTCTCAGTGTCTGCAGGGAGGTGTCAGGGCGTGGCCCAGGCTCTGCTCGGTGGTGCCGAGCAATGGGACAAGAGGCAACAGGCATGAACTGATGTTCAGGAAGTTCCACCTGAACATGAGGAAGAACTTCTTTGCTGTGTAGTGACTGAGCACTGGTACAGATCACCCAGAGAGGCTGTGGAGTCCCCCTCACTGGAGATATTCCAGAACTGTGTGGACACAATCCTGTGCCATGTGCTCTGGGATGACCCTGCTTGAGCAGGGAGGTTGGACCAGATGATCTGCTGGGATCCCTTTCAACCTGACCCACTCTGTGATTCTGTGACATAAGAATATAAGTGGTTTCTCTGTCATACTAAACAGATGAAGACACAAGAAAAAAAGGAAAAAAAAAAAACATTTGGAATATATGAAATATAACATTGCATAGAAATATTTGATAGTTGCACTCATTCTCAGGGATTGAGAAACTTGTTCAAAAGCAAATTTTTTCCTGAAACAGTTAATTTTTTTCTGCCTCGACTAGTTATAGAGAGTAAAGTCATCAAAAACCTTTCTCCTGATGAATAAAGAGAGAAGTGGATTCGGGGAGAGATGGACAAACAACTCTGACAGGCTGAGTAGCCCCTCTATTGCCCATTGATGGGTGGCCAACACCACCCGCATTCTTCAGCAACGGACTGAGTAGAAATAGTTTATCTGAACAGTGATACCTGATTTCTGAGAAAAGCACCTGTAGGTAACACCTGAAGAGCTCTGTCATATGAGGTGTTGAGAGATATCATTTCTGTTAAAAGTTTATCACAATTTCCAGGTTACACCACTTCTGTTAGTTTTTTCTGTTTTGGACTGAAATGACTTTAAAAGAAAACAAAACAAGTGCAGAGAATAAAAAATGTGTACATGGCAGTAAACATGAAACCAAACTGTGTCATATTTGTCCACTTTTCAAAAGTAGAAGTAATTACATTGTAATCCTGTTTAATTACTCCCATTTGACATCATCTCAAACACAAGGGACAAAGGCAGCATTTGATACAAATACTTACGGGAAACACTTCACTGAATTGAATTCAATGCAGTGAATTGCAACTTCTAAAACTTGGTGATTTTGACCTTAAATATTAACCTTTAGATGAACGAGATTTACATGTAAGGAGCAAAACAAGACAAGACACCATCAGTAAGGTGACTTAAAGTAAAAGCAGCATGGACCTATTTAGAAATAATTTCTCCACAAATTTCTATCTGCCATGTTATCAGCAATTAAAGACTATAACCTGAATCTATTATCTTCCCCCTGTACAAGAATGGTGGGCAGAAAATATCAGGCCTGTTTCATCAATGTCAAGTTTTCTGAAGTCAGGGACTCTTTTATGTGTTTACTTAATCTTAATTTAATTCTTTTCTGTAACAGGATAATAGGTACCTGTCAGTTGTTTTTCCATGCACCACTAGTCTTGAATAAAGTTATACAATACCTGGCATAGGGACTTCAATGTGGACATCACATTTTCCTCAGTCAAAACACTACCCCCTTCAGTAAGAAGATGCGGGGGAAAAAAAACACATAAAAGTGAGAGTGAAATAAATACCTTTAGTAGGGACCACAGGATGTCTTTTCCTCCCACCTCAGACACATTCTTTCCACCATCAAGGTTTGTGGCATGCAGGCCTTTAAACTGCTGATTTTATGAATGGTGTGCATCCAGGACCACTCTGAAAATGAAACAGGACAGTAGACCCCATTACTGAACTGTTAGTATTTGCCAACTGTATTTTGGGGGATTTTCATGCTTCCCTTAAAAATATCACCAGCAAGTTTTTATCACTAGACATTAAAATCAATCAGTAGTCAAGACAGCACAGGCTGCTCGCAGAAGAAATACTTTTTGTACCTGTAGCAACAAAACCGTCCTCCTGGAGCCACAAGTCTGCCTTCATAAGGGACATTTCATCTATACAGCAGTGCTTTGTGCTTCAGTGGGTTTTGGTTGCAAAGGATTTAGATACATTTCATCTCTCCAAGAGATGCATAACTCTTCTGAAATAAGTTATTCTAAACATAAAGAAGGCTTCCAAGTGCTTGAAATGTCTTTTCATTTTTAACTATGTCAAGTGCTTCTCTCAACAACAAAATTTAAAAGACACACTGCAAAATCTGATTTTTGCTCCCTGTTACTTTTCTTTCATGTACTCACAAGTTTATGTTATTTACTTGGTCACAGGAGTACTGCCTGAAAGTGATGGAACTGCATTGTAGATTTGAATTTATGCACCCAATTGTGAAACTACTTCTTATTCATTAAAATTGCCTTCTAATTTTATCTAAAGTTAAGGAAATCTATTTAAATAGACATGTCTCTTTTCGTACATAGTAGGAAGGGGTTGCAAATTTTTAAGTCACCATGAATGGATTTTATATTCTAACACTGATCTGAGATATCATCCAGGAAGTTTTTTTTAGTCAAATGGCTTCTGTTCAGAATTGACTCAGTTTACTGACAGGGACTCTTGCATAGTAGTTCATATGAAATTTGAGTAGCTTAGTTTGATACAGAAGCTCAGAACTGGAAATTATGGAAGTTTTGCCCCTGAGACATTCCAGGTGTGCCTGCCCTAGGAAAGACACTTCTCCACCGTGTCTGAATTGACTAATGACTTCAGCCACACCACCCAAGTCACAAAAGGCAAAGGCAGGAACTGGGAGAATGTAGAACTGTCTGCTGCAGGAGATCATGTTCACAACCATCCAAGGAACCTGAAGGTGCACAAGTCCATGGGTCTGGGGAAGTTCCCACTGACTTGAAAAGGGGAAATATAACCCCAGTTGTTGAAAAGGGAAGAAAGGAAGAATGAACGACCTACAGGCTGGCAGTCTCATCTCTATGCCTGTCAAGACCATGTAGCAGATCCTTCTGGAAACTATGCTAAAGCACAGGGGAAAGAAAGAGGTGATTGGTGAATAAGGGAAAACCATGCCTGATAAACTTGGTGACCTTCTATGATGGGGTTACAGTGGCGGCTTATGTGGGAAAGCAACTGATGTCATCAACCTACACTTGTGCAAAGCTTTTGACACTATCCCACATGACATCTTTGTCTCTAAACTGGAGAGACATGGACTTGATGGGTAGACCACTTTGCGCATAAGAAATTGGCTGGGTGGTGTCACTCAGAGTTGTGGTCAATGGCTCTGTGCAAATGGAGACTAGTGACAAGTGGCATTCCTCAGGGCTTGGGATTGGGCCAGCTCCATTTAACGTCTTTGTTGGTGACACGGACAGTGGGGTTGAGTGCACCCTCTACAAGTTTTCCCATGACACCAAGCTGTGTGGTGTGTTCAACACACTGGAGGGCAGGGACGGGCCATCCAGAAGGATCTTGACAGGCTTGAGAAGTGGGCCTGTGCAAAATCAGTTCAACAGGGCTAAGTGCAAGGTCCAACACCTGGGTTGTGCACTAGCACAATATACAAGTTGGGCAAATAATGGATTGAGAGCAGTGCTGAGGAGAAGGACCTTGGGGTGTCGGTGGGTGAGAAGCTCAATATGAGCCAGCCATGTGCACTGGTAGCCCAGAAAACCACCCATGTCCTGGGTTGCATCAAAAAGAGCATGGGCAGTAGGTCGCGGGAGGTGATGCTCCCCCTCTACTCTGCCCTCATGAGACCCCACCTGGAATACTGCATCCAGCTCCGAGGCACCCAACAAAAGAAGGACATGCGACAGTTGGAGTGAGCGCAGAGGAGGCCATGAAGATGATCAGAGCACCTCTCCTATGAAGACAGACTGAGGCTGTTCAGCATGGAAAAGAGAAGGCTCTGGGGAGACCTTAGAGCCCCTTCCAGTACCTGAATGGACCCTTACAAGAAACATGGAGAGGGACTATTTATAAGAGTATGTAGTGACAGGACAAGGACAAATGGCTTAAAACTGAGAGTAGGTCTAAATTAAATATTAGGAAGAAATTATTCACTGTGAGGCTGGTGAGGCACTGGAACACATTGCTCGGAGAAGCTGTGGATGCTCCATCCCTGAGTGTGTTCAAGGCCAGGTTGGATGAGACTCTGAACAATGTGGTCTAGTGGAAGGTGTCCCTGCAAATGGCAAGGCATTGAAATTAGATGATCTTCAAGGCCCCTTCCAACCCAAAGTATTCTACGATTCTGTTTTATCATCTCTCACATGTAACAGCAAGACAGAACAACACTTAAAGGAATGTTAAACTGGCACAGTGCACTACTGAGGAGCTGTATCACATTGATGACTTTATTCTCTACATGCCACCCAACCCACACATGTACAGAAGACTCAGAGACATTCTAATTAGAGGAGCACCATGCTGGTATAGATGTTGGATAAAATGTCAAGTACCGTCCTGACCATTCTTTAGCTAATAAGAAACCACAAACAGTTATACATACCAGACAAATGTGTCCAATTATTTCTTTGCTTAGATCTCTCTTTTTTTTTTATATACAGTGTCTGAGCAGGCTGGTGCATACTGAAAGGCATCTTATGACATCCAAGCACTGAGTGCAGAGAGACTCACACAGAGTCTCTGAAGACTCAAATTCATGAATGCCTTCTCATTCCATAATAACATTTCCTTAGAAGGTTTATTATACTGAATTAGTAGCTTAAACTGTGATTCCACAAGCCTCCATAAAGCAAATAGCTTAATTTGCTAGGATAGAAATCTCTCCTACATTAAAGACTCTGCAATTATTCTTAATCCCAGGTGAATCAAGTGTCTTGTTGGTGTCTTGTTTTAGGCTGCATGAATTGGGAAAAAGTCAATTTAGATTTTAATAACTTGAAACAGTAGCTAGGAAACTGGCTCTTGGAGGACATCCCTGGTCTGTTCCCCCTTCCTGTGCAAATAGGAGCTGCTTCCTCTGCTGGAAACAACAATAACAAGCAACACAAGCTGGAGGCTTTCCAACAAACATGCTCTGCAGTACTTAACCCCCCTAATGCAGAAGATGTCAAAAAGATTGTGTCACATTCCTGTGTTTTAGCAGAGAATTGGCTTCTCTCCTTGCAGCCAAGTGCACAATGTGACTAGAAGAAAACTCTCCGAGTTGGACTGAGATGTGGTCCCTTGCTGGTGCAAACACACAGCATGGCAAACTCTCTTAATTTGCATAGCAATTAGTAGCCAAGGACAAGCTGTAAAACCAAAGATGAACAAATTTGATATGAAAACAAATTTCATGCTGAAGGTTCTCAGGTGTTTTTAGCAGCACTGTCAAATGAGAAATATGATTTGAGAGAAATGTGAGTCTGATTAGGCACTCTTTTCCTTCAACTTTACTCTGGCAGAAAAGGAAGATTTTGACTGTAGTAACTGCTGCAGTGTAAGCCTAGGCAGCACCACTATTTTTAAGATGCACTTGTCCCTCATAATTCGAAGAGAAATCTCCTTTGCCCTTCAATGCTACTTTCTATTAGCTTTAATAAATAGCATTTAAACTTTTCCTTCACAGAGCCTGAATGCTTTTCTTACTGAGATCATAATAAAACAAGTCTGGGTGTTTTCATCCTCTCTGAATTTCCACACGAGCAATGGTATCTAAACTGCTATTTAAAATGCGTGAGCGGTGTGATGTCCTGAGACTTTGCAAAAAACCAAGATTGTTCATCACATGTAACTGTCATGGCAAGCCAGGATTTCAACTAGAGAAGTGCTATTGCTAATCAGAACGGACAAAAGGAGCCCCTTAATGTAAATTACTGCTCTACCATTCAGTGGGAGATTTTCTCTCTGAAAATCTCTGTGATAGAATACTGCATAAAAACAATGTATGCATATTAAAATGGTAAAATGCTCAATATTGGTTAATTTGTACCTAGAGGATCATCACAGCATTCTGCTGGGCTGCCTTGAAAAGATAGGTTTTGTTTTTAAGTGCTTGGGTTCTCAGAATGGTGGGGACAAATACAACGGAGTCCAGCTAGAAATCCTACAATGAATGGGTCATTTCACAGAGGTTCCCTAAGGCCCTGTCCCCTGCAAATGACACTCTTAAGAACAGACACAAAAATCATGATTTTGAAAACAGTCTTGCAGAGGCCTGAAGGGGTGTGTAAATGCTGTGTGTCAAATGGGGAAGAAAAAAAGCAAACCCAACAAACCACTATTTTCCTCAAAAAACTACATATTTCATTTACAGAATCATAGAATCTGCTGAGCTGGAAGGGACCCACAAGGATCATTGAGTCCAGCTCCTGGCCCTGCACAGGAACATCCCCAAGAGTCACACCATGTGCCTGACAGTGTCATCCAAACACCTCTTGAACTCTGGCAGGCAGCAAAGGACAATATTATTTTTATAATATCTTTACTTCCTTACCCTTTCTAGATATATTTCTCTCCTGACTTGAAGCCTGCTCGTGTAGTCAAGCATCAAATATGACATTCTGGTTTACATTCTGGTTAAGAGAAGCTTTGGTATTCACCTTATAAAAAGGTAAGTGTTCAGTTAAAGCACAAAAAATTGCCAGTGGCTTGCATTATTTGATACTGTATTTGCTGTTCCACAGCATTTGTTCTGAAAGAAAGACTAGAAACTTGGTTATTTGAAATATACCTTGTCCTTAATAGAAAATGAGAATTACTACTTAAAGAATGTACAAAACAGTCTTCATAATGTATACCCAGGAAATCAAAAAGAAAACAATTTCTTTGTAGAAAGAGTTGTGGGCATTCAAGTTTAAATTTTGCCTCAGTGTAACTGCACCATTCATTGTCACTAGATTATAGGGTATTTTAGGCATTTTAAGTAGCAGGAATGCAGACAAAAACACAACAATCAATGTTCTTTTCAAATAAATGTGAATAAGATACCAACAATTTGATTAAAATTGTTCCCCAAAAGCCATACTATTATTACACTGAGATAAAACAACCTGAAACAGGTTAATAAATATAAACATTTATCTAAATTCATTTCATTCTCTGCTTTTCAAAGTATGACAAAAACTTCAGTAACAAGCCTTTACTTTATTCTCAAGTACATAAAGTGAAGGGGGAAAAAAGTCAGTTTTGCAGTATTGAGACTGGAAAGTACTCACATTGTGAAAGAAACAAGTTAGAGATGGGAACATATCTTTTCTGATTTCAACAAGGAAAATTCACAGGAGATAAGAGTTTAGTAAATTAAAAGGAATTAGAAAGGTAAAGAAGGAAAAAACATTGGATTGAAACACACAGTCAAAAATAACCAAGTACTTTCATGACACACTTGAACCATATATTTCTAAAAGGGCTAAAAATACACAGAACTCCATAAGACATAGTATTGTGCTTCCTGAGGAGCATATAGGTCAAACAACAAAAGGTGTTTCCCTTCTACACCAGAGAATATTGACATTTATGTTAGTTCAATTCACGAACAAATTAATGTAGGTAAAAGTAACCTCACGGAAACTTCCCAGTACAGCATCCTATCCAGACATTTTGAAGCATCAGTATGACAACATGAATGGTTGGAGTTCTCAGTAAAGACCAGACCTTTTTTCAACATACAACTGAAATTGGTATGGGTAGGGGAGAATACTGCCATGTACTTTGAGTCCCGTGTCTGTAAGAAGAACTGAGAACATTTCTTTAAGTCAAAGGACTAAAGTTAATTATATGAATAAAGACTTTATGGAGTTGAGATTTTACTTTGCACATTTTATCACAGAATCAGGGAGGTCTTCAGGAGGCAGTATCCTCATTTTTACAAGCAAACTATAGTGATATAATTGGTTACAGACATCAAGCAATTCAAGGACACCACTAAGATGAGCCCTAGTCCTTCATTTTCCCCAAGCCACATCACCAGACCACATTGCTTTTTAAGGACAGTTGATGACATAACTTACAAAATATAGTGACAAGTGCACTGATGGATAAGATGTTTTAGAATCTGTCTGCAGTTTGCATTTATTTATAAGAAATTGACTCTATATTTATTGAACAACTACTATTTACGAAGTATCTGATCTGTGTGTTCAGTAAGTGAAGGTTAAAAATATGAAAAAGGGGCAAAAACATTTGAAAATATAGCCTGCCTTGCAATACAACTGTTCTTAGAACATTACTAAGAAAGCTGGAGTTTGAAAGAAACAGCTGTGCTGGTCAAGTCTGACCAACTATTTACCCAAAGGGGAAAAAAGAAAATCCAAGAAAACACTTTTCTTCCTCTTCTCTCTCTCTGCTTTTGGCAGTACATCAGCATGTAAGTGAAATCTGCTATAAACTAAAAATTAAAAAAAGAAACCCACCACCTCCCTCCCAAAAAAATCACCGCCCTCCAAAAAAACCAACCAAACAAAAAACCCAAAAACAAAAACAAAAACAAAAAAAAAAAAAAAAAAACCAAAACAAAACACCAACAAAAACCAACCAACAAACCCAAACCTAAACAAACAAGAAAAAAAAATAAAGAGAAATAAATAGGAAGGGAAAGATGTCTGGACAAGCTATTGATGCTCTGAATTAAGAGGTCTAAATTGGTAATCTCAATGATATTTGCTGCTCAACAGGAAAGTTTGAGTTCATGAAAACTGCTGATCAGGAAGGTTCTCATCAGCAAGATGCCAACTTAACTCAGGGAAAAGAAGAAACTGCTCAGAAGTTAGTGAAAGGTACAGTCTGAGAAAGAACAGCTTGGGGCTAAAAAACCTGTCAGAACAGACAAGTCGCACAAGTGAAAAAGCTGGTGGATCTGCAGATGAAAACAATCCCAAAGGAAATTACAATGCTAAAGCCCATCAGAGTAAGGTAACACAGAGATCAAATAGAAATTTTTGCTCTTACTGCTGCCATCAGACCCAAGAGGCAGATGGGAAAGTGTCCACCCTGACTGCAGCCCCTTCTCCAGAAAAAACAAGAAGTTAACAAGAAGTACCTCCTTGGTACTTCTCATAGAATGATGAAACCCATCCTTAAGTACACAAAATCCACTGCTCTGGTATTCCTTAGAAACTGGAGAAATGGACTAAAATAGAACCAAAATAACTTACAGCCAGATACCTGGGTATGAGGAGAAAGTCCCATATATTAAGCCATTCACGAATCTATACTTTTAAAGTTTATATTTTAAGGAAATAATTAAATAAAAATTGTGATGAGGAAAAAATACATAGCAAGAAAGTATGCAAGTCAATTTTCTGCTCACCTTTGATGATGGAGAATCCTTTTCAAATTCCTAATCCAAAAGTCTACTAGAGAAATACTGATACTAACTTTGTGCAGAAATACACAAAGGTAAAATGGCAAAGACAGCCCTTCCTGAGTCATGGATTGTAGTTTCAAGTCCTCATTTGCATACAGTTCCTTTCGGTAACTTTTTGAGAAAAAAAGGAAATTAATGATAGACAGGGAGACAAGGATTTCTTTGCGATCTATTTAGAAGTGTAACCGTACATATAATTTAACTAGACTAATAATTATCATTAAATTGTAATAGCTCAAAGGACAACAAAACCACATAATTAGTGATAACTTCAAAATTATTATGCAAGAAAACTTAGAACAATTTACCTTTTCCTCTGATGTTATGTCTACCCTCCCCAAGACACTCTGGGTGGCAGGATGAGAATCTGGGGGTGCCAAAATGAGTCACCAGTGTCCCCAGCTCTTACTGGGAGAGTTATAATGTTAGCATTAAGGTCTCTTCTTCATATCTTTTCAAATTATCTTTGCATGTTGTCCCTTTTTTGTATTTTTTTCAGGGTATCCTCCATCCAAATGGTATCTTTCCATAAAAGAAAAAACAAACACAGGAAAAGATCATAGAATCAATCATAGAATCACAGAATGGCCTGGACTGGAAGGGACCTTAAAGACCATCTTGTTCCAAACCCCCCACCATGGGCAGGGACACTTTTCACTAGACCGTATTGCTCAGAGCTCCATCCAACCTGGCCTTGAACGTCTCCAGGGATGGGGCATCCACAGCTTCTCTGGGCAACCTGTGCCAGGGTCTCACCACCCTCAGTAAAGAATTATTTCTTCTTTACTGATTTCTGTAATCTAAACATACTCTCCTTCACTTCAAAGCCATTCCCCCATGTCCTGTCCCTCCAGGCCCTTGTAAATAGTCTCTCTCCTTTCTTGTGGGCTCCCTTCAGGTACTGGAAGGCTGCAATTAGGTCACTCCAAAGCCTTCTCTTCTCCAGGCTGAACAGTCCCAGTTCTCTCAGCCTTTCCTCATAGGAGAGATAAAAGATCATAAATAAATAAATAAATTCACAAACAAGTATACATATATAAATAAATATATAAAGTGTAAGCCTCCACAGAAAAGTGTGAAATCACTCACAAATATCAATAATGTGCATGCTCACAAAATATTGTTGAATTCAAGAACTTTTCTTTTTTTCCAGCACTTCAAACACTATTACACTCATTATCTTGATAAACACTCTTTATCCTCCCTATTATTTCCCCTAATTATGGCCTTTCTGTTTCTCTTCTCCCTGAAGTTTTCATCATTGTCTTTATGCTGAGTCTCCTCCTCAGTGGATACATGTAAAACCTTTCTGTGCCTATGAACACCATAACATTTGCAACTTGCCAGCTGATTTCAGTGTGGTTGAAAGATAAAGTTTTGTTATGTTCTACAAAGGTTGTGAAAGAGGAAAGCTAGGTAGGGCAAGGAGGGCTCCCTGGGCATGGTGCTGAATAATGAGCATGAGCTTTACTAGGGTCCAGAGAATCTCCAAGAACAGTGAGACTCATTTCCAGAAAAGGATTTATTCATAGCTCACATACTTTGGAAAAATAAAGGCAAAACTTCATTTACCCTGGTGATGTGAAATACTTGTTTCATCTTATTTCTTTCTGGGAAGTAAGGAAAGACTAAAATATAGCCTTATGTATTGAGAAACCTATAGCGGTCTTATCTTACTCCACACATATTTTAGTGAATTGAGTTTTGCATTGTTTGCCTGTGTTTCCTTTGCATAGCACTAAACCCCCTCTTAAAACCACAAAATTACCATTTTGAAATTGCCATAAGAATCACTCACGTTTCTACCACATCTGTTGTCACTGTAATATTTTTCAGGAGACTAAGTCTGTACTGTACGATTGTCTTCTGTCCTTTGAAACCACAGTTGCTGAAATTAGGTATCAGATTTTTAATATCTCTTACAATCTGCTACAGGTGCTTTATTACCTCAACCTTTTCAATATTCTGAATGTTGGTTGCTGTCTTTCCCTTCCACACAGTTTACTGTCTCACTAAACCGTGGGAAGAAAGATAATGGTCAGCAGGCCAAACTGCAAAATATTAAAGCTCAAAGAGAAAAGGTCAAAACTTTCAAAATCCACTGTCCTGTTTTAAGTATTTCAGGAATTTTAATAAACTCATAAAGAATCCTTGATTTTATTTTAAGAATGAGGAATAAGCTACTCAAGGATTTTTTTAAAAGAGAGATAGCAATGAGCTGAGTATACTTGGTTGATTTTTCAATTAAAAAAATAAAAAGAGATTAAAAGTTCCTTTTCTATTGCTCATTAAAATTATTCTCCTTTTCACCTGGGGTAAAAATTTTCATATTCAAATACTTATCATAAAGGCAAAATAAAAAAATGAAAAGCTCATTTCTCAAAATAGCAAAACAAGGACATTCCACTTGTAATCCCCTCTCTCCATCTCTTTTTCTATAATAGCATGTAAATTGGATCAATTTACCAAGTGCCTGGGAGATCCAAGTTTCATCTCTGTCATCTGTTTGAGAAGGCTGAAATCTATGGTTTACACAGAACATTGCCTTCCAAACGAGCATACTCTGATGTCAGAGCAAGGGACAGTTTCAGTCTCCTTTTTTTGCAGTTTTCAAGTATTTAAATACTGAGTATTTAAAGACAAAAAGTCACCGAGATTACTTGTGGGGGTGTTGGTGATTCTTGTCCGTGCCTCAGTAAATAACTCATGTTTATGCAAAACAGCTTAATTTTGGAAGAGACTGCCCAGAGAGGTGGCGGAGTCCCCATCCCTGGAAGTGTTCAAGAAATGACTAGATGTGGCACTCAGTGCCATGGTTGAGCTGACACAGGTCAGACTCGATGATCTTGGAGATCTTTCCCAACATGAATGATTCTGTGATTCTGTAATTCTCTAAGTAAGACTAAGATATCCACCCCACTGAGAAACATCCTGTAAAATATCCTGTAAAAAGCCTGCAACAATGCTTTTCCACTTTGTAGAAGAATTTTCTTGATCGGCTGATTGCCTAATACTGAGAAAATAATCTGGAACAGGATGACTACCAGTTTCACAGTGGACATCCGAATAGCTACAGGAAGACTATTCGAAAAATAATAAGTATACAGAAGGTTATTCATCTGCACAATGGCAAAGCAGGAGAAAAAATATTAATTCTTCTTTGGATCTTTTTTCCTTCACTAATTGAAATGCTAAAATTGATCTAGAGTGCCTTCATCTTCTGATAACTTTCTCATAAAATGGATATCGCTTCACAGTTGAGTCCTATCTCATGGCAAACTGCATTTTGGTAACAGCAAAGAATTGAGCTGGCGTCTTCTTTGCCCATTTTTTAGCTACTGTCAAAGACAAGCATAGTGCTGTTAGATAAACACAGTTTCAGCATAACAGTCCAAATTCATCCTTGCTTAACCCCCCCATGTCTTGGTGTGACAGTTTTCAGCACAGAACAGATGCTTCCACTCTGCATAGCAGCATGAACTACAAGTATAGTCATCTCTCATAAATCTCATTTATGACAAAAAAAATCAAGTTCATTAAATATCTGAATCATGCTGGATAATTTAATATGGTTATAACCTTTTTTTCCCCCTAACTTTTAATTTACTGTCTTTAAAAATAGTGAACTGCAGATAATATGTTTGTATTTTGAGAAGGTTTTTTAACGTACTGCAATGTAGTCTGACTTAAGGATATGTTCAACAAAATTAAATTAAAAAAACTTAAACTCGCAATATGAGACCACTAAAATGTATAAGATAAGTAGGCTAGAACTTGTTTGCAAATTCTGGGCTTGGGTGAGATTTTCCTGGTTTGGTCACTGCTGGCAATGTACAAATACTGAATTACTCTTCAAATTTTTAATATATAGTATTATTGTTACCTACCATAAATAATGATTTACCATCTGTTTCACTCCATAGTTTTTACCTTACAAAATTCTTCAGAGTAGTTGCTGCAGGAGGTCACATCTGTGCCCATGAGGTGCTGCACACACAATTCATCGTCTGCCAGGGAAGAAGAGCTTATCAGCTTGTGAAAGGAACTGTATTGTTTTCAGAAGCCAAGCCAAACTAGAACTATATGGGCATATCATAGAATCGTGGAATCATAGAATGGCCTGAGTTAGAAGGGACCTTAAAGATCATCCTGTTCTAACCTCCCTGCCATGGGCAGAGACACTTTCCGCTAGACCAGGTTGCTCAGAGCTCCATCCAACCTGGCCTCGAACACTTCCAGGGATGGGGCAGCCACAGCTTCTCTGGGTAACCTGTGCCAGGGCATCACCACCCTCACAGGGAAGAACTTCTTCCTAATATCCAATTTAAATCTTCTCTCTTTCAGTACAAAGCCATTCCCCCTTGTCTCATCATTACATGCTCCTGTATTTCTCTTTCCAGGTCTCTTCTACACTCCCTTTAGGTACTGGAAAGACACAATTAGGTCATTCCAAGTCTTCTCCAGGCTAAAAAATCCCAATTCTTTCAGCCTTTCCTCATAGCAGAAGTGCTCCGTCTCTCTAATCATCTTGGTGTTCCTCCTCTGGACTCACTCCAACAGGTCCATGTCCTTCCTGTGCTGGGGACCCCAGAGCTGGAGGCAGCACTGCAGGTGAGGTCTCACCAGAGCAGAGTAGAGGGGCAGAATCCCCTCTCTCGCCTGCTGCCCACACTGCTTTGGATGCAGCCCAGGACATGGGGGGTTTCTGGGCTGCCAGTGCACATGGCTGGGTCATGTCCAGCCTCTCACCCACCATATATTACCCTCTCCCACAATATCTATTTTTTTTTACTACAGACACAGCTTAAAGTATCCTGTCAATAACATCAGAGCATATCTAACCACTAGGTATGGTATGCACCTTTTGTTGCTTCTGATTATTCATGTGAATGGCGTTAAAAATGTGTAAGTCAATTTTCCTGAAGAAAGTTAACAGCACAACTAGCTAAGAGGAACATAAGCTGGGTAGACCAGCCTGCCTAAGAGCCCAAGTTACAGTTAATTTTGCTTTGGCAATGGTGGAACTCTTCCAGATTGTTCTTTCAGGAAATGTATGAACATTAAAAAAATAAAAATAAAAAATCCAGCAAGTGGTATTTTGTGTCACAGATTATTCCTGTGAAACACAAAGCAAGTAATGCTTGAGTAAAAGCGACATTTATGTACACTAAATGTTTACGAAGTTCTTGATGTGCTCCTTGTGTAATTATCTCTGAACACTGCATTCTGACATGCAAGGAAAGCGAGAACAGCTGTTCATTTTAGAGCCAACTGTTATTTTTGCCTTTATATACTTATATCTATTTTCAACATTTTTACGTATGCAGATATACACATGTACAGATATATGTACACAGAAGTGCACACATCTGTACATTTGCAGATAGACACTGATAGCTGGATAAGAGAGTGAGCCTTACTTCTGCTTCACAGTCTGTCAGTAAAAACTGGAGTTGACTCTCCTTGTGAATGGCTGGCTAAGCTGGAACAAAGTTAAGTACTAGAAATAGTCAAGTTAAATAAAGATACTTTCTGCAGAAAAAAAAAAAAGCCACATGGTAAAACTTTGGGGGTTTTGTGGGATTTTTTG